TCCATTTGAAAATGCCTTTGAAAATCTGGCCCTTGACAGAGGTTTTTCCCTTTTATCTAATTTTCAGGATTCTCTAATCTGGGGATTTAATGAGCCTGCTTCCTTTCTTTCATTTTTCCTTCTGACACCTCCGTCCTTCTTATTTTTGTCTCACAGGCAATAAACAAAGTCAAACAGCTGTTCCACTTACCATGTAAAATAGAAACTATGACTGATACAGTCACTAATTATTTTAATAGGGTTAGTCCACGTTTCATTTTGCTGAACGATTTACTATGTCAAGAACAATGGAAAGTTGAAAATTGACAAAATCCTGTTCTCATTACTTTCTCATGTATAATGCTGCTATTTATTAATACACAACTTTTGTTATACAAACATGTCCCTCTAGATATCTCTTCAACTGAATAGAGATTCAATATCTATTGATAGAGAATGAAGGTTTAATAAAACATTATTTCATTCAAAAATTCTTTAAACTTGTTTTTTGTTAAAATGATCTAACTGGAGATCCTTTCCTTAACTTGTATGTTTTATCCATTAGAACTGTATCTTAGGTTCTTCCCCTATGTTCCAGCAGTAGAACGTTTATATTTCACACCTTTCAAGGTACCCACATTTGCATATAGCTTCTAAATTAGCTTCATACACAGTTACTGTATTCAGAAATAGTAATTTTCTTGTAAAAATTGTTATATAATCTATTGGAAACAACTGATTTCTGCAAGTTAAATTAAATTCTCAGTTTATAGTGTTTACAGCAGCTCTACCTACACAAGGCCAGATTCTGGCCCCTATACCCTGGCTCTAGTGGCACATAGCTGCTACCACAAGCTAGGAGAGAAGTCCCTTGACTGGTCTAGAACACAGACTAATCTAGAGATTAGGAGCCCAGGCAAGGCTACTGCATGTTAGAACAGTTTGGGATGCTGGTCTAACCATACACCAGGGTAGTTGTAGCTACTCTGGCAGCTCAGAATCCAAGTGGAGCAAAAAGTGATATAAAGCCACTTGTGCCTCCCCTCCCCCTTGTGGCATGTCTGAGGACAGACAGCAGACAATTCTAGCCCATAATTAAGTACAGATTTATCTGATTGGCCATGGAAGAAACTACTGGATAGGAGTTCCTCAAAGATTAATTTTCATGAGATTTGAACTGGTTCAAAGAAAATGAGTTTCAGATTAATTTACTGAAACCCATGGAAATGCCTCTATTTGGCTCAAACTTTAGTCAGCTATCAGTGATTATCAATTTAGCTTATTTTTTTTTTAAAAAATTTGTAATTTAATTAAAACAGTGCAAGATTTTGGATAAACAAAGCCTGTGAAACATTTTTAATTTCAGCTGTAGTCAGAAAAGTGCGTAAGTATATAGGGTCTTTTTAGTAATTTGATCTGCTCCTAGTATCAGTCACATCTGCTTCATTTACTAGCTAAAAAAAGGTCTCTGGCTCATACATCAATAGAATTAACTAAATTCCAATTCCAGAATCTTTATTGGTGATGGTACATGAGCTATAAAATCTCAGTTGGACTTTCAGATGCCAGGGTAAGTTTTCATGGTTAGCACTCGAAAAGCTTACCATTTCTAAACCAAATATCAAAGTACATAGTAACCTCCCTTACCCAGAGGGGCACATACCTAGTGAACACCATCAGTCTGCTGTGGGGAGCTGCTAGAAAGCATCTTAGGGAGAATGAGAATTGCAGAAAAAAAAAGACCTACTCTCCTGACTCAAGCATGAGATCTCACTGTTTCTGTTGTAATGTGTGATGCCAAATGGAAGCTAGTGATAACAACTGTACCAACCTGTGTGAGAATAGATAAACCACAGTGCTCCTGTCAGCAGTGCTCCAATCACAAATGCTGCAAAGGCGATGCCCACAACAGTCAGAGTGTCCAGCCCATAGAAAACTGCTACAAATAAAAAAAATCAGTTTCCTTTTTAATTCTGAATAGTACTTTGTAAAATTCCACACAGAGCTTTGTGACATTTGCATGTTAATTAACCCTCATATTAAACCCAAGAAAAGAAAGACCCCATGATACCTAATAGATTATTGTGATTTGTGTCTAGGCACAACTAGCAATTCATATGCTGGCTGAGATGAGCATAGAGACTTTATTTTAACAAACTTTTCTCGGTCAGAAAGCAAAAACCCAGCTGAATACACAAAACTGGAATAAATTCAAAGTGTTCTCAGTTTCTCGTTAATTATTTGTTTTCTGTTAAATACCAGGTTTCACTTAAAATATATTTTAAAAGGCTGTGCAATCTCACTAAAAGATTACTTTTTATTCACATCCTACCATTCAATCCAAATTTACTCTATGTCCTCTACAACGTCAGCCCTATATCTAGGCGGAGAACGGAAGTGCTGCTAAGTGAAAAGTGGTGCCAGCTCAAAAGTCAGCAAAAACATAAATAGGAGCAATTGTTTTTTTTGTATTTGGCAGTGTTCTTAATGACAAATTAATTCCAGATCACAAAAATGGAAAAAAAGTCAGTTTCTGGAGAAGAGAACCTTTATGCAGTATAGTCTGTACAGTACTGCATCTGATTCCTGAATGTATGGCTCCAAACATTACTTACACAATTATAACAACTTCCAACCATTGTCTTGTATACTTTTATTTCATCAAAGACATCTTAATGTGGCTCTCGCACTGAATAAATTGTTTTTGTATTTTTTCTTACTTGACTAATTTCAGATGTAGTATTTCAACGTCTCCCATAAACATATGAAATGGTTTAAACTAGTGAGTAAATTTTTAGCAATTGAGTAAATAATGGAAAACAACTGAACACATAGGCTCCAATTCACCATAGTGTCTGTGTTGGTGGGTGAGGGGGGACATGAAGAAGTCTGTCCAGGGAATAGTTAGCAGATCTCCAATCTACTTCTTTCGATCTAACTTCCTGAATCCAGCAGAAACCCTTAAAAAGACAGGCAGCACACCACTACTTGCTTCCCCTTTGTTATACCTTTAAGACCCTTGCTTCTACTAAGGAAGCTTTCCAGAACTTCTTTTTGAGTATGTATAGCCAGATTTAGGATCGAAAAAGAAAAGCCAGACAGTGGCTCAGAGAGGTTTTCTCCTACTTTTGACATGGATCTATTTCTGAGTCATTTGGTTATTTAAAATCCAAACTGTAAATGTGTTTGTTAAACAAAGATGCCTCTTCTACAACTACATCATTTCAGTATCTTCTTTCCTTAAGATGGGGTTCCCTGACAACTAGGTTACGCTCGTCCCAGGACACAGACTGGCTGGTGGATGGTGGTAAATTCTCTGTGCCAGCTTGAGTGAATCTAGCTCCAAGACCCAAAGAGACAAGCTCCATTCTCTTATTTCTTTCCCTCCTTACTTCCTAATTCTCATCCTTGAGCTATTGTTTTTCCTTCCCCTCCCATCTGCGATATTTTGCTAGTGCTACCTATAGGCGTGCGCAGCACATTTCATTAGGGTGTGCACTCAAAGAATTTTTTTAAAAACTTAGCCACACCCCTGACCCCCATTAGCCATGCCTCTGGAGGTAACACTTTCGGGGCAATATGGACACATGACCAGAAATAAAAGTGTCCCCCAAGGACTTTTCCCACCATCCTCTTACCAATAGGGATTAGTTTGGCCCTCATGTGTGTGACATTAACTCGGGGGGTGGAGAGGCTGGGGGAAGTGTTCCCTATAAGTTTCCTCCCATGAGCACAATCAATTTTGTGTTGTGCACCAGTACTGAGTATGTGGCTTGTTTGGATATGCCCCTGTGGTACCCAAGTTATTAATAAATATCCTATGAACCTCTACCTTTCCCCTCTGCTAATGTTCTTTGAAATGGTCTGAAATATGTTTCGATTTTTTTTGTCCCCCTCCCATTCCTTTACCTGGATAAAGGAAGGAAGGAAAGTTCTGACTAAAAAGAACATTTCATTTCATTTCATTTCAAAGAGCTATTTTTCATTTAAAATGTTTCAATGAAAACACTTTGTCTGATTGTAGTTTTCACTTCCACTCAGTTGACAAATCCCCTATTTCATATTCAAAACTGAAAATGTTGATACAACTTCCACAGTTGTTCTCATAGATGTACTCATGTTTGATGGCCTTATTCAAATCTTGGACCTGCACACGTCATTGTCTTGGTTGTGCTATCATGACCATACTGTTAATGTGTTACGGGTGATTCTGTCTGTGTCTGCTCAGAGAGAGACATCAAATTTTATCCAGTCAATTTCAGCTTTTTTTAAAATCTCTAGGGGTAATGGAACTTTCCATGATACATAGATTTTTGGTGCCTCTGATTACCCACCCCCTCACCACTCTCTGCCCCTGTTCCCCTCATGCCCCTGTGCCCTCACACGTGCCTTGGTCCATCCCCACCTTCCTCATGCCCACCCCTTCTCCCAGCACCTCCCCTTCTCCCCTCAAGCCCCCAAAGCCCTTCCCCTCTCCTCTCCTAGCATCATCCTGTCCCTCCCTTTCACTGACACCTCCCCTCCTGCCCTTTTCCTCATTGTCTCCATTTGGCCCCCTGGCATTTGTCTCTCTCCTACACCCTGTCCCTTGATGTCTTCCCCTTTCTTCTCCTGACCTGCTCCCCTCCCCTCAGCACAAGCCCCTTTCTCTCTGACCATTTCCCCGTATTTTTCCCTCCTTCTCCAGCAGCTGCCAGTTGGTCTGTAACAGAGTTCTAGGGTCACCCTGACTGTCACCCTTCTGGTGCTTCCCCTACTCTGTCTTTCTTAGGTTTCTCAGCCCGCTTTTGGGCCACAAACGCCCACCCTGCAGTCTCTGGTTCCCAAAGTTCCGGCAGTCCCCATCACTTGGTTCCTCCACCAGGTCCAACTCGTAGGCTGTGTCTACACTGGGCCACTTATTCTGGAAAAACAGCCACTTTTCCGGAATAAGCTGCGAGCTGTCTACACTGGCCACTTGCTTTTCGGGAAAAGCAATGATGATCTAATGTAAAATTGTCGTTTTTCCGGAAAAACTATGCTGCTCCCGTTTGGGCAAAAGTCCTTTTCCGGAAAAACTGTTCCGGAAAAGGGCCAGTGTAGACAGCACAGTAGTCTTTTCCGCAAAAAAGCCCCGATAGCGAAAATGACGAATGGGGCTTTTTTTGCGGAAAAGCGCGTCTACATTGGCACGGACGCTTTTCTGGAAAAAGTGCTTTTCCAGAAAAGCATCCTGCCAATGTAGACGCGCTTTTCCGGAAATACTTATAACGGAAAAACTGTTCCATTTTAAGCAATTCTGGAAAAGGGTGCCAGTATAGACGTAGCCGTAGGGTTACCCTCCCCCCAAAACACAGACACACTTGATTGTGGGCAGGGGAAGCAGCTCTGGGGGGAGGAGGGGCCAGCCATGCTGCCCCCGACCCCAGGCCCCCCCTTCCCTTCCCTGGAGCCAGCCACACTGCCTCTGACCCCAGGCCCCTTCCCTCCCCGAAGCCAGCCGCGCTGCCCCCGATCCTGGCCTCCCCCCCCCACTCTGTCCCCGGGGACAGCTGTGCTGTCCCTGAACCCGGCCCTGCCCCCCCTCTGGGGCCAGCCACGCTGCCCCCGACCTCCCGGGGCCAGCCGCGCTGCCCTCGACCCCCCAGGGCCAGCCCCGCTGCCCCTGATCCCCTGCCCGGGGCACATACACCTGCCTTCCCGCCCGGGGTTTAAACTCACCTCGCTTGATGGGGTGGCGGGGTGATGTTGCTGCGTCCCTGCCACCTCTTTCTGTGAGGTCCTAAGACCTGTTGGTTTTGGCCGCACATGCGCAGCAAACCCGGCGCGGTGTCCGTTCCCCAGAGCGCCCAAGTGGTGCTCCTTCACTCACGCCCCCTTTGAAACATTAGGGTGTGACTGGGCACACCCAGCACACCCCATGCGCATGCGTGTGGTGCTACCCACTCTTCTCAGAGGTGACTGGGCCCTTTAGCATAGTTGAGATTCTCAACATCAGGGGAGAAAGGCATTTGATCACATCTATGGTGGTCTTCAGTGTTGAAGTACTGCAGACACTTATACAAATGTGGCTCTTGCTTATAAATTCCTCTCTCAAAAACAGTGGGAACAGCCCATGTTTAAGGATCTGGGATGCTGTCCGCAGGGACATTGACACCATAGACATATTTTTGTTCTAAGTTTTAAAAGTTTTATGGTAAATTATCTTTGACTTAACCTTTTGAATGGAAATTCTAAATCAACGAAGTAGATAGGCATGCATAACTTACGTGGCTGCATCCCACTGCCTTTTGGCTTGTGAGGAGGTGGATCTGTTTAAAGAAAATAAAACCAAAACAGATTAAATTGCATGATGCCCCATAGAAATACTACACAAGCAATGTTCAGCATCTCGATGGAAAAAAGAAATTTACATGCTGCATAATATATTAGAGGCATTTCAGGAAATCCTGCCAGAATTTATTAACCTGTAAAAATCCATTTGTATTTTGATTAGTATTCAGAGGAACATATCCATAGAACAATGCATGCAGCATACTTATCAACTTGTCATCAGTTTTCACCTGCAATAATACCTTATTATTCCTATGCTGGGTTCACCTTCAGCAGACTGCTAAAGTTGTTTCCAGTCTCCAGCCATGAGAGACTAGCACATGAAATCATTTCTCCCTCCTAGGAAATGTTGCTTTTAGATAGGATGGACCCTGTTCTAACCAGTGCACGTTTTGATTTATACAACATTTCCACTTCTGTTCTGTGATGTACATAAATTACTTGGCATTCTATCTGATTTATACTGGAAGACAAAGATCATAGCTATGATATTAAAGCTACTATTTTGAAATAATAATTAAATATCAGGATGGAATGCAAAGAAATACAAAATGGTATCTTTAGAAATGCATCATTACTCTTACTCTCTCTTATTTGACATCCCTTCTTTGTATACATGCCTGGTATCACTATGGAGAAACTATTAAAATAGATGTCAGGAGTCCCCTTCCTCTTGGAATATGCATGCCAACTTCAGGAGCCAGAAACCCAGATTTAGATTCTAATTCAAACGTCCTGCTTGGTAACCCATGTTGCAATCTCTAAATCATCAAGCTGCCAAAGGCTAGAATCTAAATTCTGACATGTTTGAGTCTACTGTATGCTTCCATTATGAGAAGATTTGACAGGATACTGTAATGATACATATTTTTATATATTTTAACAATTGGAAAAAAATAAGCTTTCATCAGGAAGCTAGAGCCATTCTAGTACTTCCACAATATATTGAAAATTGTAGGTTTTTTATTGTTTTGCCAGGATTAGTGTTTCAAACCTCTTCAGTAGCAACTGCATTAACTTAACATGAACTATATAGGTCCAAAATTCTATATCAGATCATTACATTTTCCTCTCAAAACCATGTACCTGTAATATGCAAAGCATTTTTATTTACTCCTAGAACAAACCAAAGCATTGTAGTTTACCAAGCGGTTATCTTTTCTTTTTATAGCATCTATGTATGCCAAGTGGGCTAGACAACATGGGCAGTAGGTGAAGCTGTTTCTTGGGGAGGCACGTTCCCTAGCCTGTGACCTAGTCAATATTCCAACCAAGTCTGCTCTGCCCAGGCTCTACTCCCCTGCCCCCCCAAGGCCACCATTTTGGGAGAGCGGGGGCAGCAGCTGTGTGTACCGGGCTGTGACTTGCTTTTCTTCCCGTTCCCCTGATGAAAAGGGAGTGAGGGAAAAGTACTTGGATTCTGTGTATGCCTCTCACTCCTGGCTGGTGAAGGGAGGAGGCAGAGGAGTAATTCACAGAATCCTAGTACTTCCTCCTCGCTCTCTTATTGGCAGATGAATGGGAAGAAAAGCAAGCCTGCTGCCCTCTCTGCTCTCCCAAAACAAAGACCTTGACCTCACCACTGTCCCACTCTTCTCTTCTCTCCCCTTCTCCTCACTCCTTCCAGTCAAATCCTTGAACCCAAATGCAGCAAATGACATTTGAAAAGAATAAACACTTCTAAAATTTCTTTCTGAAGAAAATGGAATGTGTTTTCCACTGCATGCCAAATTGTGAAGACTGACTATTCAGAAGATACCCAATTAAAAGCACTACATTTGGAAATAAAAAATGTCAATCACAGGTTTTTTGATATACCCTGAACTCAAGAGATATATTTGCAAAAACTCTGTAGAAGGGGAGAAAATTAAATATAATGATGTATTATATAATATATATTACATGATGCAGCTCTTCTCTGTTTTATATTTTCTTAATAAATATTTCAAAGCGTATTTTATACATACTCTTAAACCTTCATAAAAAATAATATTTCCAGATTACTACGTATTTAAACAGACCGAAGCAAAGACATTATTTTAAATTAATCAGAGTGTATTCAAAACAAAGTTCACTGCCTTTAGAAAAGGCAACACTAATTTACTTTGTGTAATCTCCATAACAATAGACGTGTTTATGAAATTTCACCATATGCTTATAAAATACATTTCTAAAGATTTTAGACATAACAAAGCATTTTCTATCTTTCTGTGGTACTAATTTCAATTTCAATTTCCAAGCAAGAACGAATTGCTGGAAGCAATTCTGCTACATTTATACTTATGAAACACATATTATTGTATAACATAGGAAGAGTATGCCCTTTCTCAACAGCATCCAAATTACATTTCCATAAACAAGTAAGGAAGATTTTAAAAAGCAAATAACTGGGCATGCAGATAAGATGGTGAATTGTGCCACACAAATGTCTATAAATGAAAACATTTTATAAGAACAAGAGCAAAGTGATGTCTCTCTCTCTTTTTGCCATATAGTTACGTTAAGAGGTTCAAAATGAATTTTGATACCTTTTGGCTTTTCTTCGTGGGTTATTACAGCAAGGGGCTTGGTGAAAGTTTTCTCATTGTGCATCATGGCCAAGATCATCTCAACATTGAGCGAGGTGCAGGCTTCATCAGGAGGAATGCACTGTGGATGGAAACAACACGTGAGGTCAGGGATTCATTCAAAATAAAACAGTATCAGCCAGAGCAGCTGCACAGCTGCTTCATTATCAGTGTTTACTCAGTATTGCTTACTAAAGCAAAACAGGAGACCTGAATGCTATCAACCCCCACTCAGCACCCCAAAATCTGCATAATACTGGCACAGAAAACTTATTCTCATCTAGAATGTCCAGCTGTCCCAATATTAGGGGCTTTGTCTTATATAGGACCTTTTACTATGCCTATTTCCGCTCCGTCCCAATTTTTCACATTTGCTATCTGATCACCCTAGCTGCATTTTAAGATGTAAACTTTGCCTTAATGTTAAATTACTTATATTCAAAGAGGTCTCACTCCAGTTTCCAAAACTACCTTCACTTATCGCAGCTAGCTTTTGTACTCATTGGCTGCGTCTAGACTGGCAAGTTTTTCCATGAAAGCGGCCGCATTTGCACAAAAACTTGCCAGCTGTCTACATTGGCCGCTTGATTTTGCGCAAAAGCACTGACGTTCTACTGTCCGAAATCAGTGCTTCTTGTGCAAATGCTTTGACTTTCCCGCTTGGGGAAAAAGCCCTTTTCTGGAAATGTTTTTGAGCAAGAGGGCCAGTGCAGACAGCTAAAAACTGTTTTGTGCAAAAAAGCCCTGATGGCGAAAATGGCGATCGGGACTTTCTTGCGCAAAACCGCGTCTAGATTGGCACAGATGCTTTTCCGCAAAAAGTGCTTTTGTGGAACAGCGTCCGTGCCAATCTAGACACTTTTCCGCAAATGCTTTTAATGGAAAAACTTTTCCGTTAAAAGCATTTGCGGAAAATCATGCCAGTCTAGACGTAGCCTGAGAGTAGTTGATTTTTTTTTAGTACATGTAAGCAGGGTCAGGATAAGCTCTACCTTGACATCTGGTGGTGAACTGTGGCAAGTGGTGCAAAGAGACTTCAGGGGCTGATCTCATTCGCATAGATACACCCAATTTGCATAGACACTCCAACCCCCACTAGTATGTGCTCACAGCAGCCCAAATGGTCACTTTGGCCACTGTGGGATCCCCAGTCTCTCTGTTATTGAGGCGGGGGGGGGGGGGGGGAACGGGTAGAATGGTGGAACTGTTTATGACAGAGGGATTCACCATAAACTAAGTAGCACTCGCTAGACAAGGGGCATGGGTTCCAAACCCAGTCAAGTTGAGAGAGGCAGGCAAGTTGAGACAGGACTTTGTACCTGGTGGGGGGGGCCCTGTCTGAGGGCCTAAACAACACCGATTGCACCCCCTCCTCTCTCCACTGTGGAATATCAGAACTAATTTGGATTCCATTAGGAGTCTAGTTGTGAGCTGCTGAGTTGACTTCACTGTGGGCCAGTGAAGCACTAGCACTGAGGCTCCTCTATTATGAGCTGAACTTGCTGAAGAGCTGAAATCACTATTGCTGTGGGGAGCCTGGCACTATGACACTAGAAGAGTAGCTTGCAGGGACAACCAGCAAGCGCAGGTGGACAGCAGAGCAGTTTGCGGGGACGACTAGCAGGTGCAGGCAGACAGCAGAGCGGTCTGTGGGGAGCGACCGGTGGGTGCAGGCGAACAGCAGAATGGCTGGCAGGGACAGCCTGCGGCCAGTGGAGCAGCTGCAGGAGCAACCAGCTGGCGGCCAGGGGCGTGGACTGAGACAGCAGGCAGAGCTGGACAGTTTGTGGGGCAGCTGAGGCAGCTCACTGGACAACAGGTGGTGTGGGGTAGAGTGACTCGCGTTGACGGCAGCAGCAGAACCCTACGGAGAGGCAGAGCCATCGGTGGACTACGTAAGGTGTATCAATCCCTGCCCCCTCCAGGTTGGGATGGTAAAACACTGCCAGGTGAACTTTTGAACCCTGGGGTGGCATTGACTCGGGCCAGAGCCTTTTGGGGGTGTTGGACTTGGGGTGATTTTTGGGTTGCTGGACTCAAGAGACTCTTGGACTTTTGGGACTTTGGGTGATTCGTGGCTGGGAGGTGGGTCTTTGCTCATGTTTGGTCTATGAATCCAAGTTGTGGTGTTTTCCCAAGTTAATGCTGATGTCGGTTACCTCATGTTATTAAAGGTTTGCTGCTATTCTGAGGCTCTGTGCATGCAAGAGGGGAAGAATTGCCTCTTTGAGGCGCCCAGAGGTGTATGTAAGATTTCCCAGGTCAGTGGGTGGGGGCTCAAGCCAGTGTTATATTACCTTGTTGGGAGGAGACCCCTAGATACTGAACCCGGCCCTTGCTGCTATTAACTGGGCCTGGCAGAAGGGTTACATACAAATGTGTATATGCAAATCCAAGACTATACAAAAATGCAGACACACAGATTTATAAGCACAAAAATAGAGTACACTTTTAAAAATCTGGAGGCCAGTTTTGTAGCTCACTAGTGCTTATATACACATCACTAATGTATGATTCTTATCTTCAACAACTAACTCAAATAATTCAAATTTTATAAGTTATACAGGTACATTCCAGTAAGTCTGAATACTAAAACAATTCATTTTTGTTGAAAAGATGTACTTCTACTTATATACTGTTTTAAAAGTCAGAGTTTGGCAGCAGGGACTGGGCAGATTCACTGGGCAAGGCGGTGTATGTGTCTCAGCTCTGCTTCCCTGAAAGCAGAGGGAAGGGGTGGGGGGGGCTCAGGCCAGTTCCCCCCAGGCAGTTTCAGTGCTGCCCGGAATGCACTGCGCCTACTCCATGCAACCTTCAGCGCAGTCCAGAGCGCACCGTGTGGGGCTTCAGTGGCGATTTCAAGGACCTGGGACTCCAGCTGCAGTAGCAGTGGTGGTGGCTAGGAGCCCAAGCACTTTTGAATCGCTGGGCCCTGAGGCAGTTAGCCCCTTTGGCACCCCCACAACCCGTCCCGTCAGCAGGCCTGTTTAGCAACAGTCTCAAAATAATCAAATAGGAAAAGTTAATTCTACTTAAATATATTGGAATGATTCAATACAGAGAATTTACTATAAAATACAAAAAAAGTAACCCTACTGAAATCTAGAAAACAAATGCTAACATTTACTTATTTCCCATCAAACTCACTCTGAGATGGGCCAACCTTACAGTTCTCATGTGGATGTTCAAAAACAATTACAATATTATCTCAGTAGACTCTGGAAAATTAATATTCATTTTGTTATCCTATTGCTATATGATCTGAATAGAACATATACATCTGTACCATTCCCTTAATGAAAAGCAATCTTTTTTCCACATATAACCACTTACTGATATTTTAAAGTGGAAAATGTAGACCATATGGTCAAGATTCAGCATAGCTCTGAGTTAAAAAAAACAAACTGTAAAACTTATCAAGTCCAATGATAAAATGTTAACCACACTAAATTAATCTATAAAATCTTCAAGTACAAAAGTTAATCCCAGGAACTGCTAGGATATGAATTTGTTTATCTAGTAAAAATTCCCATTTTTAATCTAAATCTGAAAGATTAAGGAATTTAAAAAACTACTGACCTTAGGCAGTCCTTGAATGTCTTTTTCTTTATTTGTACACAAAGTCAGATCACAATGAAGAAAGAGCAGGGAGATGTTGAAAACAGGTTTAAACACAAAGCTAAATCTCTTTTTGTCCATCTGTGCATGTGGTATAGGAAAGTTCACCTTCTGGACATTGTAGAATTTAACAGATTCATCTTTAGGACAAATGTTTTCTATGATGGTGTAATCAGACATCCTATCGGGGTTTGAATATGGAGAAATAAAACATGTTTGGATTGCAAAGCCCAGGGCTCTGTCAGCTTTAGTCACAGAAACCTGCATGTGAAAAAACAATTTATTAAAAACTTAGTGATCACATTTTTTGTTAGTAGCATTCACATTTTACATTATTGTGTTTTTCAGGGGTCAGTTCCGATCAAATATTTCAAGCCTAAATTGTGAGGATGTATGGTCTAGAGATATTCAAAGCATGGATAACAAGTTTTGTGAGTTCAAATCCAACTTAGTCACTGTGCTACATGTGATTTTTTTGGAGGGTCAACCACCTCTGTAATTCAACAAACTCACCTGGAGCATCCACTAAAAAGAATTGATGTTCTCATTATCTCCTGAGTTCCTACATGCCTGTATGATTTCCTGAGCATGCCCATTCTTAACTCCTCCCCCCATGGCGCAGTGGCATATACCTGCCAGAAAGACTAAACCTGCCTGTTCCCAGTGCCTGGTACATATTCAGTGGTGAAATGAGGGCAATAATTAGAAAGGAAAAACAATACTCTATGTAACAGATGGGGAAAACAAAGACAGCAACAGAAATGAAAACTCATGAAATATCAGGGCAAAATATGAAGTAATGAAAAATCAGGGCTGGCAAGGCTAAGCACAACAATAAGTTTTAAAAATATATATTAACTGAAGAAATGCCAGCAGTGGCATAGGCCCATTACCAGATGGAGATAGCAACACTTAATGGTGAAGGAAGGCAAAAGCATGTAACAAATATTTCTGTATTTGGAGAGAAGCAGGATGATGAACCTGTATCACAGAAGAATGAGGAACAATTTTGCTAGTCCAACTAATGAGGATGTTAAACATCTATGCTGGCCAAACCTTTTAAAATCTGCAGACCCAGATAACTTGCACTCAGGAGTCAAAAAATATTTGCTTGTGGTGATTTCTGGCTCTCTGATGTGAATTTTTAATCAGTCTTGAAGCACTGGGAAAAACCCTGGAAAGTTGGAAGAGTGTTAATGCTATGCCAATATTCAAAAAGGGCAAGTAGAATGATCTAGGTAACTATAGGTCAGGAAGCAGGATGTCAATCCCAGGCAAAATAATGAAAAAGATGATACTGAATGGCATCAATACAGAAGTAAAGGATGGGAATATAATTAATGCCAGTCCACATGGTTTTATGGAAAACACATCTTGTCAAACATATGTTATTTCATTTTTTGATAAGATTATATGTTTAGTTGTTAAATGCAACTGCACAGATATAACAGATATGTAGTAAGGTGTTTGTCTTTGTACCACATGACTATCTGGTTAAAATCAGCAGTATCCAATCTCAATAAAGCACACATTTAATGGATTAAGAAATGGCTGACAGATCTCAATGTAGAGGAATCCTCATATATTTCTAATGGGGATCCATAGGTATTGATTCTGGGTTTGATGCTATTCAACATCTTTATTGTTATCAGTGATCTGAAAGTAAATATAGAATTACTGATGATAAAACTTGTGGGTGACAAAAAGATTGGCAGAGCAGTAAATTATGAAGACAAAACACTCATACAGAGCGATCCGGATCCCGTGGTAAGCTTGGTCTATTCATACAATAAAATTATACATGTGGAAACAAGGAATGCCATACCCACAGAATGGGGACTCTATGCTGGAAAGCAATGCCTTGGGAAGGGATTTAAGGGTCCCAGTAGACCACTCAACAGCTTTCATGCGATGCTCTGGCAAGAAGGGCTGGTACGATTCTTGGACATATAAACAGGGGAGCAACACATAGGAGCAGGGAGGTAACTTCACCTTTGTAGATGGCATTGGTGAGACAGATGCTGAGGGGCTTTGAAAAAGGATGTTGCAAAACTGGAGAAAAGAGTGCAAAGAAGAGCCACAAAAATGACTGGAGGGCTGGAGAAAATCCCTTAACACGAGAGACAGAGCTTGAACTGTTTAGTGCATCAGAAAGGACTAGAGGTGACTTGATTACAGAGTATAAAAACCTTAACAGGGAAATAGTAGAGGGGGCTTTTATCTAGTGGAGAAAGGCATAAAAAGAACCAATGACTGGAAGCTGAAGGCAGACAAATTGAAATTAAAAGTGAGGCAAGATTGGTGGTGGTGTTTTTTGTTTTTTTTAAACAGTGGGGGTGATTAACTAGTGGAACAAATTTTCCAGGGAGGTAGTAGATTTTCTATCTAGGAGTCTTCAGATCAAAACTGGAAGACCTTCGGGACAGCGGCAGATTTATGGCAGGGTGAGCGGGGCGGCTGCCCCAGGCCCCGTGCTTCCCGAGGCCCTGCGCATGCGCCGTGTCAAAGGGGGGGCCCCCCCGTGAAATTTCGCTGCCCGGGCCCCGTGGTGCTGCCCTGGGCCCCATGGCACTCTCATCCGCCCCTACTTCTGGAAGACATAATTTAGCCAAACTCAAGTTGTTGGGCCCAATACAGGGATTCTGGCTAAAGTTTAATTGCCTGTGATATACAGGAGGTGAGACTAGATGATCTAATGGTCCCTTCTGGCCTTAAACTGAGCAAGGATGAGCAAATAGTTACCACATAAGGAAAGAAATAAACAAGATTTACAGAGACAGCATGTGGGACGATTATTGTATTAACATATTGACAGGAAAAGTCAAGGCAGAGATAAAGAAAAAATGCACAAGTGATTACAATAAAGAAAACAATTTTACTAGAAACAGAATCTACTCAGGAGAGACAAGTACCAGGTCTTTAGAGAGTATGCATGAGTAATTTATTAACCAAACAGACAGATTTTTTTCAAACAAACCATATACAAATGTTTTTTCTGTCAGTGGAAGACAGAGGAGCAAATGCCTGAAACATACTAATTTTCCACTGTGTAGAAAGGAAAAACAGAGGGACAAAAATCAAGCTCATCCCAGGTCAGGCGATAAAGACATTAGAGTATCTGTTTGAAGAAATAACTCCAGGACCAGACAAATCAAGAGCCAGATAGATTTATCGCAGAATGCTGAAGGAAGTTGACAATTTTGTTCAAGTGAAAACCCATTATGTTTTCATTTTTTAAAAAATCTTAACTCATTTGATGTATTTTATCCTTTCTTCAATTTCTTTTAATGTATTTTTTACTATAGAATTGTAAAGTATTTGCAAGAAAGTAACTACAAATATACAGAAACCTCATAAAATGAACTGTTCACTAACTGAAAAGTACTAAATGTTCTATCTGAATATATTCCCAAATGTGTTTGTTAAATATCACAGGTAATTCCTGCTAGAAATATGTAATTCATATAAAGATGGTTTGCTTATATAGTGGATCTTATTTTCTAAGGTCTTTTAAGTTCATGGGCAAAGTGTCTATGATATTCTCTTATTCTAATTGGGTAGTATCTTACTTACAAAGATACATATTCAACAAAGATTTTCACAGCATGTGTGTTATCACTGACTGAATACAGTAATCTGTAAAAGAGAGGAAGTCTGACACCTGTTTGGTATACCAAAAGGTGAATGGAAGTGGCTTAAAGGTGAGATGGAGTTATGATGACATTGTTAACACCCTTTCCTCCACCACGTAACCTGTGGGGGAAAGGAGAAGCTACAACTGTTTTGTACATAACTTCACCTGGAAAGTGTAGCTAAGCCATATTTCTGCAAAATGAAATAAGTCCTTATTGACAATTCTGTTGCCATACTTGTAATTATTCAATAAAGAAATCAGATTCAAGCAAAGGTTGAACCTCTCTAGTATCGCACTCTTGGGACCTGACCAGTTCTGAACCAGAGAACTTTCTGGACTACAGGAAGTCAATATTGTCTAGCAGCATTACCCAACACTTCCACAGCTTAAAGGACGTGTAGATGTAAATTGAAGCTAAATAACAGCACAGAACTCTGAGAGCTAAGACTGGTGGCCATAAACAAATTTTATGGGACTGTGGGAAACTTGGCCATACCCATGAAAAATGGATATCTGGCTAACTAAAATCATTCCAGACTATGGATGTTTCCAGACCAGAGAGTTCTGGACTAGAAAGATTCAACCAGTGCTGTTCCATATTGCATAACTGACCAGAAGGACAGTCTTCTTTTAGGTGGGTTTACTCATTTTGAGAGGATTTTTTGGTATTCACAACCTATGAAGGCCCTTTTCTGAAACCACAGATGCACACATCTGTCAGAGCTGCCAGTTTACAGCAGGCTAGCATAAAGTTGGCTAAATTTACATAGCCTTGCTCCAATATTTTGGTTAATCTGAAAACCTTTCAAAGTTTATTACCTCAACATAAATGTGTCCATTCTCAGCAACGGAGAAGAGTCCTTGTGATGGAGCAAGGAAGAGGTCTGTTTTATAAAGCTCCATGTTGAAGGTCACATTGGTGATATGAGGTTCAGGAGGCCAATACAGGGCAGGTTTATGTGAGGGTTTGTCACGCTCTGCCTGGTGGAGTGTGCAATTGAACTAAAACAAACAAAGTATAAATTAAACACAGAACTTTTGCCTCCTGCAAACCTCCAGTAGGGTCATAGAGGATGGAAATGAGATCAGAATTAGGGCCATAGCTAAAACTTTAATTTCAATATAAAATATGAGAGATTACATACCACAACTGTTTCAGATGATGGAAAGGTAACATCGGCTTCATCAGTGTCTCCTGGAAATGCATTATCACCTGATTCGACATCTTCATCATCAATTCCCCAACCACTACTTTCCACTTGTGATGACAGCTGAATAACAATCTACATAAAAGTAGGAAGTGGAAACTGAAAACTTTTCTACAAAGGTGACCGTGAGTCTATTCATGGAGTTTCTTCTTTTCTTCAGAACAACAAAGATCAAGAAGTTGTGGCAACCAACCTGGTGGGAAAAGCATGCCATCCTGGCAGCTCAGCAGTAAGCATTTCAAGTATGTATACTATACATGCAGAATAACCTTCAGTTTATTTCCAGATGTCAAGGCCAGTAAGCCATAAAACTGCTCTGTATATTGGAAAAGCAGTCTGGATATTGGTATGTAAATGAGCATACCAGCAGTCCCACTCTGCCTCTGGTATTTCTGTATCCAATACTACTAGAAGAAATGGTTTTGTGAAATGGATTTACATATCTTCAAACATTCAGTGACTGACTCCTGGAAGAGAGTCACAAAAAGTTCCAGTGGGTAGCATGATTTTCTCCAGGACAGTCTGTCACTTCTCTCTCTTTTTTTTTTTTTTTTTTTTTAAGGTGTAAGCCAGAAAACTTTTCATACTTCTTTCTTCTCTGACTCCTCCCCACCCCTTTGTTCCCCTCTCCCCATTTTCTCTAAGATACCTCCTCTTTGGTGCTCTAGCTATCCTTTGTCTGTTTTTCTCTTGCTAACCTTTACCACTCAGCTTCTGTGTTCCCATCTGCTTCTCCATTGCTCTTTTGCTTCTCTTACCATTTCATCTTTTTCTTCTCAAAGATAGTTCAGCTTCTAAAAGTGACATTTTCTTTTGATCGGTTTGGACACCACATCCTTTCTGAAGGATGCTGAATAA